GCCGCGGCCGTGCCCCCCGCGCCGCGGCAGCCAGCAGCTCCCAGGGCACAGCAAGAGCTGGGAAAACCTCTGCAGCCCACCCAGGCACTGTGATTCCCCGGCTGGTGATGGCAGGGGCCATGCTGCAGCTCACCCAACCGAGAGCAGCCCCCGGGCAGCTCCAGCTCCCTGCCCCACTAAATCCAGCCCAAACAGACATAAAACCCCGGCAAAACAGGGACATGCCTGTGGGATGAACACAGCATTGCTCCCTGCCAGGACCCTGCCCACACGTAGTTGGGCTGATGGCAAATTCCCCACAGCCTGGAGTGCTTTCCCGAGGCTGGCTGCGTCCCCGTAGGCTGGGGACACAGGGGTGAGGGGTGCCAGCCTTGGTCCCGATGCCACCCCGTTGCTTGTGCACACTTTGGGGTCCCGATGTCTGCCCCGAACCGAAAGCCCCCAGTGCTGGGACGCAGCGGGGCTCCAGCATGGCACGGCACCAGGACGTGGTGGCACCCGGCAGGGACGGGGACAGGGACACTTGACACCTGACCCCAGTCCGGGAAGGGGGGGAAGGAAAGTGGAAGGTGCTGGGAGGAGGGAACCACCTCTAAAAATAACCCAGACTCTGCGCCGGGACCAGAGGCAGAGCCTCTCCGAGGGCCAATTTGGGGCAAAACCCTATGGTTCCCGAGCTACAAGTCCCAGCCCTGATTTGGCATCCTGGGGTGCTGAGAAAGGAGCCCGCGGGGAAGGAAGGGACCACACCAAGTGTCCCCACCACGCCACAGTCCCCCCGGGTCCCCGGTGCTGGGGACACCCCCGCGGTGGCATCACCCGCGTCCCACCACCACCCACCTGCAGAGCGGCGTTGTCGGTCGTCAGGTTGGTGTAATAATTCCAGCTGGAGGGGGGCCCCGTTCGGTGCCTGGCGAGGCGAGAGCTTTGCCTCCGCCGCCAGCTGCTTATAAGCCAGCAGCCTTCGCGCAAACCCTCCCCACAGAGCCTGCCTCCCCTCGCAGATAAGACCGGAGCATTTCGCTCTCCCTTCGGTGGCTCCCGGGGTTCCGAGAAGGTGCAAGGAGCGAGCGCTGCCTTGGGGGTGCAAAGTCCCTTTGGTGCTTGGCTGCTCCGGGGGGGAAGGGGAAGGGGCTGGGACAGGAGGGAGGGAAGGAGACGGGGGAGAACTGAGGGAAAGGTGGAAAAAAAGAGAAAGGAGGAGAAAGGCTGCGGTGGATGGGGTGGGTGGGAGGCAGCTCCATCCCTGCAGGGTCCCAGTCCCATCCCGGCTCGGTGCAGGGAGATACAGCTCAACCGGACCGTGGTGCTTGGCAGGACATCCCCTCCCCACGCCGGCATCACGCGGTGAACACCCCTCAGCAGCACCCCAGCCACCGGCCGCCGGGCACGAGGGCGAGCACAGAAGGGAAAGCGCTCACTTGGGGGGCAGCCAAAGTCTGTCTGCCCCTGCTGCTTGCCAAAGAGTCCCTCCTTCTGGCATAACCTCATTTTTTCGGAGAAACGGAGTATTTCTGCTGGCTGTGAAGGAAATCCCATCGCATCACACCGAGTGTTTTGGACTTAGGCTAATGACAAATGAGTAACAAAAAGTTCCTTCAAAATGAAAACCAGGTCTGTGTTGGTGGGCTTGATAGTTCCTTTATTTTATTCATGTTTTTCTTTCTAATTGACCTGGCCCCAGCCCTGGGAGCTGTGCCCAGGCTGAGCTTAGGCCCTGCGTTGGCTGAGCCCATCACCCCTCGACGGGGCCACTGCCCCATGGGGACACAGTGGACACCTGCCATGGAGGGGACAGCTTTTTGGGGGGGGAACAGTGGGGTACCCCTTGACCTGTTGGTCCCGCTGGGCACTGCAGCACAGCCAGCCACAGCCCCTTGACGTGAGCCCATGGGGTGAGCCCACGGGGATAGCGTGGCCCCTCGACGTGGAACGAGTCCTCCTGCCAGGGCTGGGGACCCTAAGGGGTTTTCAGAGCCATTTCCAAAATAAAAAAAGAAAGGGTTTTAGGAGCCCACAGCCCTCTGATGCCTGTATGGGTGTGCAACAGCCCCAGCACCGCCTGCGAGCCTGGACATCGCAGAGCCAGGGGCGCAGCCAGCAGCCACCTGCAGCCCCCCTTGCTGACCCCTTTCCCCACTGGCCACGGGCCTCTGGAAACTCTAGTTTACTGGGAAGTTGGAAAAAATGGTTGGTTTGGCTCCAATCTGGCTGGTGACCAAGGGCCGATGAATGGGGATTTCCTGTGCCCCACCGGCCTCTGTTCCCAGCTGCGGCGGGGAGGGGTTTTCCCGGCTCCGGGATGTTGTGGTGCAGCCTCCAGCACCAGCGGGGTTTGCGGGCAAGTGGTGTGGCCAAAATGGGCTCTGCAATCTCAGCACGGTGCTGGCATCCAGAAATCCCAGCGAGGGAGGCCTTTTCCAAGGTTGGTGTTTCCGATGGGTGACCCTGCAGGGGAAGGGCAGCTCTCCATCATTTCGTGTGTGAGCATCTTCCAAGGCTGGTGCAAGAGAGGCGGCGGCTGCTGCTGCTGCTGCTGCAGGACTTCATGTTGGGCAAGGGGTCTTCTCGATGGCTACACCTCCAAGGACACCCACAGCTCTGCTGCATCCTGTCCTACAAATCTCCAGCTGGGATCAGGCAGAAAAATGTCCTACAGGTGGGAGAGTGCTGGCAGGTGAAGTGGTTGTGGGCCCAGGAAGGCAGGCGAGATGCCTGCAAGCTTGAAGATGCCTGTTGGTGCCTCTGTGCTTCCCCAAAGACACGTTATTCCCACAGCATCTGCTGAGGACGGACTCAGAGACACCCACAGGACAGCCTACAGTGCCTGGGACTGGTCCCCACTCTCCCATGGCTCTCAGGGGTACTGGGGTGGGTGGTGGACACCCATCTGCTCCTAGCGTGCAGCGTACCCGCTGCAGACCAGAGGGACAGGAGATATCGAAGGATGTGAAAAATGTGTTGCCACGGAGACGAATGCTGCACCGCTTGTGGGGCTCGGGGCAGTCTGGGCGAGACGTGGTGTCCCCAGGCCGGGAGGATGCTTCCCATCGGCTGGCATCGCCATCACCAGCTGCATGGAGAGGTTGTCCTCCTGCTCCCCAGCACACGTGTACACGGACACGCGTGCGATGGCCGGAGCATCACTGCGTCCGGGGGTGCAACCGCGGCGAGGCCTCGCCTGTGAAGGGGCACGACTTGCTCTCAGCAGCTCCTTGGCTTGCCAGACCTGCAAGATCTCCCTACCTGCTCCGGGCAGCGCTGGCAGGGGCAGCAGCCGGTGCAGCCCCCAGCCCCAGAGCCCCAAAAATGAGGATTACAAGGAGTTCGACAACAAATATTTCGTAGGGGAGCTGTAAGGTATCAGCTGTGATAGATGGGAGAGGGCGAGCAGAGGTGGTGGTGCGAAGGAGCAGGTATTTGGGGGTGCCGGTGTGGGGGTGCCGGTGCTGGCTGGCAGGGTTTGGTGATTTTTTTGGGTGTATACCAGCCCTACAGACTCTGGCTGGGGATGCTCAAGTCCTTTTTTTCCTTCCTTTATTATAAACCACATTTTTGGTCTCCCCATCCCACTTCTCAAAATGTTCAAGTGTGCTTCAGAACTCCTGCCTGATCCATCTCTCTGTCTGAGCAACCAAGGAGCCTCTGGAGGGGAGAGAAAGGGTTCCGTCCTGATTCAAACCTCAAAAAGAGCTTTTTTATCGGGTGTGCAGCCTCGTGCGTTGCTTTTCCTCATGGCTGTGGTTTTGTGGGCACGATGGCTCCTGTGCTGGTTGGTACACATCACTGCGTGGAGAATTTTTTTCCTCCCTCTCCCAATCCCGAGTTTCAAGGCTCCGGTTTTATTTGCTGATGAATTCAATCAATTATCATAGCGTATAATTCGCTAAGCTGCTTTCCCAGATGTGGTGATGCTGCCGTGAGGGAGAGGGAGAAAAAACATCTCCCATTCGAATTTTTCTTCTAAACAAACAGCTTTTTTCTGTTCCTTCCAAAAGCAAAACCCCACCTCAAGCAACCGGGTATTTTGCCATTTATTTCAGACCTGTGATTGATGAAATAATAATGAAGGATTAGAGTAAGTGCTGTGGCCAGTGCAGTCCCTTGATGTCACCTGGGCTTGGGACTTGGGATGGCAAGAGGGACGCAGGAGTCCTCGCCGCTGGGTACTGCTGTCTGACTGCAAAATATCTCTGCTGAGGGTTTTTGGCGGGGCTGTTTCCAGCTTTTCCCTGGATAAAAGATGTATTTGAAGCCTGGTGTGTCCCCTCTGCACGGGGACGGGATGCAATAGGCCACGGGAAGCTCACCCCCGGCCCCAGAGCAGCGATCGCTGCTTTATCACCAGAAACGCACACTCAGCTCTTTCTGGAGGCCGAATGCAGCAGAAACGCTCCTTATCGGCACGATTGCCACTCTGCCCCACAACAACACCTCTCAGCATGTGCCTGCCCTGGGACAAGGGTTTATGGCCCCGGAGAGGCTGGTCCCGTGTGGGCACTGGGGACACACGTGAGCCGCTCTGGCTGCACGGGGCAGCCCATGCGGGACCATGTGTTTCCCCCAGCCTCG